TTAATTAAATCCCAACTCAGCTTTTGATTCCAATATAAGATTAATTAAATCCCAACTCAGCTTCTCTCTACCGACAAAGATTGAGTCAGACTCTTTACTCTGATTAATCAACTCAATTTAATCACCAACGATCTGTTGATGCGAGTGGAAGGAGTTTGATTTCCTTAAACAAGATTTTGAGTTCAAGTCTTATGAATAGAGAAATAAGCACTAAGAGAGATTCTTCCAAATGAGATCCGACATGCCTAAATTCCAGATTAATTAATACTCAATGTGATTACTGGATACCGAAAGGTTACTACTAAAAGAGAAACTCAATCTAATCAATTTTTTTAACAGTTTCTAGGCCATTTCCATTTTTGCTTGTTTATATTTTTCTATTGTCATAAATCTCATCCAGAATACCATTCATCTCCTTTTTTTTTTTCACCAAGCTCTTTCCTTAATACTAGATCTCCGATAACAGATATGCATTTTCTTATTAATTTGGAGAGTAACTAGCCCTCCTTTTTCTTCCTGTCTCCTCCTATCCTCTTCTGCAGCTAGAAAACTTGCCAGTCATCGAGCAAGTCTTCAATGTTGTAGATGATCAGTTTTAAAGAATCCAACCATCTATCTGCACCCTTGATGATGTTGTCTTCGTTTTGCTTCTTCAACAAAGCTGGAGATAGATTGAAGTTTGCTTTCAAGTTTAACAACCTCCTCCCTAAATGTTACTATGACTTCAATCGTTTCTCTGATCTCCACAAGAGCATTGTCGCCTAGCTCTTCCACCAAAGTAGAGATGAGGGTAGTTGCCATGGCTAAGGGGGGTTAGGGTTTTAAAAGAGAGAAAACTGCTGTGGGTTTTAGAGTATAAAAGTAGAGTGAAGAGAGTTATTATTAAAAAATGTGGTCTGACTTGTTTTGTTTTTGAAACAGGTATAATTTTTGGTAGGAGATATAGAATTTTTAGCATGGTAAAGTCTTAACTCGAGTCTTGATTATTGTCAAGACATTGAGTCCATCTAACAATCCACCGAGGACTGGTGGAATGTGGTTTGACTTGTGCAATTATTAAAGCAACCTCAATGAATACCCTTGACTCGTGAGAGAGTATTTTGTTAATGTCAAAAGTCCTGGGACTCAAGTCTTTTTAACTCAACTCATGGCGATATTTACAGGTCTAAGTTGAAATGCTTCCCAATGGAGGTTGCAAGAGTGCCATTATTCGATAGCAGAAACTGGATTTAGAAATCTCTGTTGCCAAAGTGCCATGGACGAACGGATGAAGATGGTAAGACAAGTGCCACTCTTTTTCAATATATTGTATATGGACAGTGATTGGTACACACTCCGATTCAACACACTGCATAACACATTTATTAAAAAATTATTATTTTTTAATTTGAAATTAAGGACAAACAAATTTAATAATACAATCATACACATAGGATATAGAAATTAGTTGAATTAATTGTATTTATATTATATTTTTAATGATTAAACTGAAAGTGTGTCAAAAAATATATTGAACCAAAGGTGTACCAATCATTTTTCCATTGTATATATAGTTGATTGTCATCAATGACAATTCCAAGTTTGGAGGATTGATGTTGGCTAGATCCTCGTTAAATGCTTGCTTGATGGAGATGGTTGTGTTGCAGCTAGAATGAAGAATAATCTCTGCATGTTCTGACCATTCATATGTTTCCCTGTAGAAGCAAAAGGTCCGACAAGAACCTTTGGAATCGGAACAAATTGATATTCTTGCTCGGAATGTTTGTGATTCTAAGGCAGAGTTGTTTGAGCTTGTTTGACAAGTTTTAACCCGTATTTAGACCATTATAGATCATAAGGAAACACTTCTCAGATACGTATGCTTTGAGCAAGTCATTTTTGTTGGTTAATACCATTTTAGCCGGATCATTTTTTTTTTACCAATCCCGGCTCATCTTCACCTGTTTTTCTTTACCCTTTTAATGTTTTTTCCTGTTTGGCTGAAATATAAGATGTTTCATAACTTTCATGTAATATTTCCGAACATCTAGGAAGTGCTGATTTTACTAGCAAGATGGAAGATTTATTAAACTGTTAAAAAGGTGGATGCCCTTGGCTCAAATGTGGTCCTGTCCTGGAACTGAAATTGAAGATACAATTCCACAAATTCCCAGTAAAGTCTAAGGAAAAACAAGAGTAGTTCTATACAGTCAACTTTCTCAAGAAGCTCCACAGCACTTTGAATGGTGTGTATTCATAGAAGGGATGAAAGCTGAAAAAGTATTAGAAATTAATTGCACTGAAGGATTACATTTAGAGACTCTTCTTGTTTCAGTTAACCACAACATCCACCTCTCTGAGCAACAGCTCCATCCCTTGCACCTGATGGACCTTGGGGACGTCCATATCCAACCTTGATGCCAGAAGACTGTGTTGAATGAAGTTCAGTTTTTTGTAGTTTTCGAAGTACTGTGCCATCACATGCTGCAACAATTCAGTGTTTGATTTTTTGATGTAATTTGACCTTTGGTTAGGTAGCTTTTTGTTAACCTTCTGTCAGTATAGACACTTGAGTAGGGGGCTAAAATTAAGCTACTTGTAGCTTGGTAAACTACTCTTCCTCTTTCTTGAAAGCTAGTGTTTATTTTGTATAAAAGGAGAAATCAATGATCATTACTGTGTTCTGCTCATTTTTCTCTCTGTTTTTTTTTTTCTCTCCATTTTTCCTTAGAGCAAAAACGTTACATGGTATCAGAGCCTCCTCTGATCCTTGAGAGGCTGTGAGGGAGTGAAAATTGAGAGTGAGTGACACCCAAACACCTTGAACCCCAAAAATGGAATATGGTTCTAGTTTCATGGCAAAAACACCAGTTTTCAATGGTCATAACTACCCAGTTTGGTTAGTCAAAATGAAGGCTTATCTAAAGGCCTTCAACCTTTGGGAAGTGGTGGAAACCGACCAGCAGCCACCACCTTTAAGGCAGAATCCCACCTTGGCTAAGATAAAGCAGCATACTGAAGAAGTTACGAAAAGGTATAAAGCCTTGACTTGTATTCATTCTGCAGTAACTGATGAGATTTTGGACAGAATTATGCGCTGTGAAACAGCCAAAGAAGCCTGGGACTTGTTGAAGGAAGAGTTTCAGGGTGACAGCAAGGGAATTCAGATGCAAGTTTTGAATCTGAAAAGGGAATTTGCTGTTTTGAGGATGAATGAGTCTGAAATTGTCAAAGAGTTTTTCAGATAGAATAATGAAGATTGTGAATCGAATCAGATTGCTGGGTGATGAAGAACTCTCTGATAGGAGGGTTGTTGAGAAGGTGTTGGTCAGTTTGCCAGAAAAATTTGAGCACAAGATTTCCTCTTTGGAAGACTCCAAGGATCTTTCCAAAATTCCCTTAACTGAACTTATCAACTCTTTACAAGCTGTTGAACAAAGAAAAGCCTTAAGGTCCCAAAGCAATGTGGAAGGTGCTCTCTTGGCTACTGAAAAGGGTAAAAGCCAACAAAAGGAAGGAGCAAAAAAGCAATTTTTTGACAAGAAATGGAAAGAAAAGAAGGAGTTTCAAAGAGATTTCAAGGGCGGTAGATACAAGGGTAAAAAGGAGTCATTTCCTCCTTGTATTCACTGCAAAAAGACAACTCACACAGAAAATTTTTGCTGGTTCAGGCCTGGTGTTCAGTGCAGGTCTTGTAAGCAATTCGGTCATGTTGAAAAGGTCTGCAAATCAAAAGCAGACTCTACAGCACAAGCTCAGATTGCAGAGAAACTTGATCAACAGGAGGAGAAGTTGTTTGTGGCCACTAAAGTGGAAGCTTGCTGTGCTATGAATCTCAGTTGTAATGTTTGGTTGATAGACAGTGGATGTACTCACCATATGACTCCAAATGAGAGCTGCTTCAAAAGCCTTGACAAGAGTTTTACCTCAAAAGTCAGATTGGGTAATGGAGAGCTAGTAGAAGTCAAAGGAAGGGGAGTAGCAACTGTTGATACACCAACAAGTATCAAGCTTATTTATGATGTTCTATTTGTTCCTGAGATTAGCTACAGCCTTATTAGTGTTGCTCAGCTTGTTGAAAACAAATACTCTTTGCACTTTCATGACAAGCTATGTGATGTATTTGATGAATTTGGAGATTTGTTGTTATCTGTTAAAATGCTTGATAAGAGTTTTCCTATTGAATGGAAAGAAACTCAGATAAAGGCTTGTGTGAGTACTGTTGAAAATTCTTGTGTCTGGCATAAGAGGTTTGGTCACTCTAGTTATCAATCTTTGCTATTGATGCAAAAAAAGAGCATGGTTTCTGGTATGCCTCTTGTTCATGTTGATGAACATGTTTGTAAAGTGTGTCAGCTTGGTAAGCACTCGCAATTGCCTTTTCCATCTGGTCAAGCTCATAAAGCTTCTATGAAGTTGCAGCTAGTTCACACTGACATTTGTGGTCCTATGAAGACTGTTTCTTTAAGTGGAAATAGATATTTCCTGATTTTTATTGATGACTTCAGCATATTTTGTTGGGTGTATTTTCTGAAACATAAATCTGAGGTATTTGATATTTTCATCAAGTTCAAAGCCTCGGTTGAAAATGAGTGTGGTTTGAATATTAAAACACTTAGATCTGATAATGCAGCTGAGTATACTTCTCATAGATTCCAACAGTTTTTGCAACACCATGGAATTCATCATCAGCTCACAATTCCTTACACACCTCAACAAAATGGTGTGAGTGAAAGGAAAAACAGATCTATTTTGAATATGGCTAGGTGTTTGCTATTTGAGAAGAACTTGCCCAAGAATTTTTGGGCTGAAGCAGTTTACACTGCTGTGCATTTGCAGAAC